CTTACAGAAGCACATTAAAGGGATTCCTCCACTTAATTTACCAACTTTCCTATTTCTTATCCGATTTTCATCAAACTTGGAATGTATGTGTATAATCCAATTTTAAATTTGATGGAAATATTGAAATTTTGTTGTGCACATGCGCATTACCAACTTTCTTATTTCTTATCCGAATTTCACTTAACTTGGTATGTATGTGTGTAATTCAATTCTAAATTTGATGGAAATATTGAATTTTTGTTGTGCGCATACGCATTATCAACTTTCTTATTTCTTATCTGAATTTAATCAAACTTGCTAGGTATGTGTATAATCCAATTCTAAATTTGATGGAAATCATAATTTTTTGTTGTGCGCAATTTCTTATCCGGATTTCATCAAACTTGGTCTTTATTAATTGACACATATTCTTTTATTCCTAGTCAATATACTTTAAACTCCAGGCACTTTTGGATATTTGCATTTAGAGATGCAGAAAAGTATTTACATCAATGTAATTGCAATAGACCATCTTCGTATGTACCTGAATGTCGTAACCCGCCCTGCATCAGTACTGTTATTAGAACAGTTCTAGTGTTTATTTTCTTTTGTCATTTTAATCTTCAAAAAAACAGTTCCCTTATCCTAAAAACTGACCAAAGCTATATCTATTTTCCTCCCCAAAATGTGTCCCCCCCTGTTTGTAAAACGGATCACCACACCTGGTTCAATGAACTATGACAAATATTGGCGATTTTTATATTTCAAAGTGATATTGTCACACTTTATATTTGACAAAAGATATTTCTACTAAGAAAATGTATCACAAATTAACAGTTTATTGTGAATAAACAAATTAAATGTACATATAGATGCAAAAGATGTAGCAAACATCCACTTTGGTATGGAAACATATATACAGTCAATTAACCTAATTTCGTGCTAACCTATTTTTCGTGCATTTCCGGAAAGGATTAATAATTTACATGTGCAACCTCGCGTAACCTCGGCTTGTTTTAATAAACATGGGTTATCTGTACCATGTCAACTAGTAGAATGAAATCAGTAGTTTCAAGCAAAGTAAAATGTATTAATGTGTACTTTGACAAATACAAAATGGCGGATTTCAGTTATTACCAAATGCTGAATTTCCTTATAATCCCAGGCTGTAATCAGAATTCTAAGTGTCGTCTGCTAGAATGTAGTCCAACGATTCCGTGTCAACAGAAAAATTCTATGGAACACAAAGCGGGCAATATTCTTATGTTTTTTCAATAACTTTTAGCAATAAATCACGCTATGTATCTTATTTTGTCAGTCACTATTTTTTTTTAATTCATTGTTCTTTGAAGGAATTGTCATTAGTTATAATGAATTGATATTAAAGATAAATACTAAGAGAAGTTGATTATACCATTGGGTATGCATACAACCTGTTTTTCTTGACTTATTTATAGATCAAACATTGTACACAAAAAGTGGTGACTTATTTTGCTGCCGTTGCCGAGTTGGTTGCTAATGAAATATGGGTCAAAGTGAGGGATTCATAAAGAAAATCGAAACAAACCAATTTCAATCATTTTGTAGCTGAGGTAACATCTAAGACATGAAAAGAAAATTTCCGTTTTTTTAACTTTGACGAAATTCGATGTTGAATCCTTATATGCGAAAATAGGTTACACCACTGTAATCAGTCTAAAAATGATTGGTAAAACTTGCTTGTGCATATTGTAATATATAAAGTTTATGAAAACTTGCCCTCTGCATTAAACTAAATAAATATCTTTGATCATTATTTATATTGGGGATATATTTGATATTACATTGAAATGTTAGGCAAAAAACTATTACTCCCCCCATTAGCATTAGAAACGTGACGGTACACGTGACTGGTCTAAGTTTTCTTCAGCTGATAGTCTTTAACTTCCAGTCGAATATCCCTATAGTAATAAACATTGACAAGCTATCCTATTAATCTAGACTAAAATAAAATATCTAACCTTGACATATATTACCAAATTTTCATATACATCAATTAAATAACAAAATAAGAGTAATATTTCCATGTCTGATACCAAACATTTTTTATTTTCAAAATATGACGATCGTATGACGCCTATTAATGATTTGCAAAACAAGAAATTTTCCTTCCATTACAATGTTATGTTCAGTCAATCGCAATTTTCATATATCTTTTGTACAGATACATAGATCTACAATGACAGCACATATTCCGTAACATAATACTTAAAACTATGAAAATAGTGCTGATATAATTTAAAAATATACTTACCAATTTATGGAAATTAGAGCTCTAACAATATTTCGCAGTGTTTTTAACAATATTTTATTTCTTCATTTTAATGTCATTCATGTATGACAATGTATTATACTGGCACGCGTAACCTAATTTCGGTAAATCGCTCCACGACCTTCAATGTAAAAGAGTTCGCCTCAAACAAAGCATATGTTTCAAATTCAATGGTACACAATGAAAAATGGGATCTGCTGTCATCTAACACTGTGCCCGTAAACTGTACAAATGAAAATCAAGACGACAAATAAGTCTGAAGAAATCTATGAAATGTATACTTTTTTCTTCATTGCTTTGAAAAACGTGACCGGCGTAGTAATATGATTACATGATTTAACTTATTGTTAGGTCACGTGAAATTTTATTCCTGGCAGTCTAATAATCGATTTTTGATACCAAAAAAAATTAACATTGATAGATCGCCTGAGATATTAGATCAGAATTAAACTGCGCAATATTTTAATTAAAATAATATCGATTGCTTAATTTTATCTTTGGCATGACATTAATTTTAATTAAATTGGTTTGATTAACGACTTCAATTTGCGTTGTTTTATATCCACATAATTAATATAAACCTTGTATGTTATTTGAATTTGGGAATGTATTCAAACTTATGCGTATTATATGGTAAAAAAAAAAAATTTTTTTTAGGAATATATGGTTAAGTGGCAAAAATTCATATTGAAATGAATTTATTATATGAGTTGTTTTTTTCAAGTTTACTAGAGATTAAAATCAAAATGACTGATTCAACATGCTGCATCCATGTACAAATTTTGATTTGACCATATAAACATGTTCATTATTACAATATAATTCTGATAACAATTGATCTCCATGTTTTACGTGGGCGAACTTTCATGTCAAGAAATGAAACAACCAATATATATGAATATGTTTACTTCCATTTTAAACAAAATTTAAAATATACACTAAGTCCCAAAATTCATAACATAAAAGTACATAATGATACAAATGTCTATACAAGTTTAACAGAAGTGAGAAGAATTAAGAAATGTGGGATATAATAGGGAGAATTGTAATTTAAGTACTTTCAGTATTTTAAATAATTCTACACATTGAAAAATCGTCTTCACTCAGAAATCCAGTCAACCCAGCTGTTCAATGTCAAGAGGTTTGACCAGGGTCCAGCTTACAAATCGTTAATCTTGTAAAATATAGTTGTTTTTTTCTAACCTTTATCCAAAATCTTGACTGTACTAATTGTTGGGTATGCTTTAAGGAAAGTTAGAGAGAAATTAACAGGGAATACCTATCATTTCCGACGTCATTTCTGACAATTATGGACAACATGCTGTAGCCACAAGAAAAATTTTACCATGACAGCAGTTGTGCCAAGCAGTTTATTCTTTTTCAAATGTGTTTTATCTTGTACATGTATGAGCATACCTAGAGTATGGGGATTTTTATATAAATGATAATGACTTTTTGCCTAGATTTGAACTCAAAAAACATGTCTGAGGTAAATTATCCAACTTGTATAAAATTCTATTTAAAATTAAATATTACAGTAGGTAAATTTGTTGGAAATCATCCATCAATATTGTCTACTGGTAGTATATATACAATCAATAGGAGAGATTTCTAGAGAACAGGCGCGCTGCCTGTGTACTTCTAGTGAGTCAATGTTATAGACTCATATTAATTCAAGACATAGATTTATACTGTGTTTTTAACAGGCATTTTATGAGAATAAAGAGTAAAAGAGTAAACTTTTAAATGCAAAATTTATACCTCAGAATAAATAATCTGCCTTCAAAAGAGAAGTTAACTTTGAAATTGAATCGACATGCATTAAAGAGATTTCTGGCTATAGATTTATAGCCAGTCATATGACCTGTAGGGACCAAGTAGAAAAATCCTAAATTTGATGAATTGCAGGAATATCAATCAATCAATCAATCAGGAAGTAAATTGGGTTATGTAGGAAAATGATGGTATTGTGACATGGAACTGCCAAATATAAAAATGATAAGCAAGATGATTTATAGAAGAAAAAAAGAAACATAATGTCATGTTAGAAGTATTAAAATTAATTACAATATTATAAAAAAAATCTTACATATATCAGCATATTGATATCAGTAGGTCATTATAAAGGCTGACATAATCAATAAGCTCATATAGAATTTTCCTTTATAATGACACAGTTGTAATCATATAATCTGTCGAGAAGACATTTCACAAAAAACTAATATCTTATCCAATTAATAATATACCCAAATAAGTATATCAATCATATGGCATCACCTTAAAGAGTATCTTCAGAATGTCAATCAGAGGGCTCGGCAGAAAGTCTTTGAACACTAAGCCATAATCTTTACAGTCTGTCAAGGGCTATGAGTGGCTGTATAAGCCTGCAAACAATCCAATCAAATTGCTGCATTCTGTGATACAAAAAAGATGGCTATTGCAGTCAAGGTATAAGAGGAAGTTGGTAACGGCTTGACATTGTGAAGATGCTTAAAGTTGACTATATACCTTTAACCCATAAATAATTTAATAATTGAGATTTTTCACATATTGCATATCATTTCAACGAATAAAGTCAAACAGCTTAATTATGAAAATCAAAGCAGTTATAGCAAAAACACATAACTTAGCAGGATGGTTACAACCTTTTTAATAACCTTTAAAGTTCATCTCAAGAATAGTTCTAACATGGATACAAATTGTAAATACTTTATTTTGGTGCGAGTCCTAGATTATCCATGACAAATTTAATAGCTCTCATTGGGTTTTCTATTTCATGTATGCTATCTCTATTCAATATCCAATCAGGACGAATTCGGCGTTTTTTGGCTGGTGTAGAAAGTGGTAATGTGCTGTTGAAGGTTCTAGAAGCAGCTATTTTTGCTTTCACTAAATTTCTTCCCTCTTCTAATTTATGTTTTCTAGCTGTTAAAGCATACATGCTTTTAATTTTATCTGTATAATTTCTGTTTGATACTATACCCTGTAATAAAAGAAAGATTTATATAAGAAGAGTGACATCTAGCCCACATTTCGTGACAATGAACAAAAGGTTTTGAAGTGACAGACTATGTCAAGTCAAACCTTAATACTTTATATATGCTACCAGCAGAGAAAATGACATGTAATGACATGATAAAATATCATGGGAATGTGAAATATGACAGCCTTTTTGGGTTCTGCTATCCCACAATATGTTATTATTTTAAAAGAAACAGGTCCTATATGACACGCTAGGATTGGTTGAAAATAAAGTCATGTGAACAGGACTGAAGTAGAAAACTTGTTAGATTACAAAGGAGACAAAATAATCGGAGAAAAAAAACGAAATCTCATCTTAATAAGATTGATGGCAAACAGACATATAGCAGTGTATCTGTATACTAACCTGTTTTCTATGATGATCTAAAGCCAATATTCCAATTAATGTTGCTGTTTTAGTAAATATATTGCCTTTTTCTCTAAAGATGGTCATTAATTCTAATAGATTAGAAATAGAATCTTCTACATCATAAACATAATCTATTGTCTTCTCATACTGAAATATAGTAAACAACAACTATATATCAAAAGAGTTCAAGGGGGAAGGGGCGAGGTGAATCTTTACCCTGGTTGAGAAACACTGGCATAGATTAGTCTATTATTCAGATTTAATTTTGAATGCAAGTCCAAAATCCCAATAGAATTTCAGCTCTTCTACAATGAGTATTATGGGGGTGGAGAGAAAGGGTATGCTCACTATTCAAAACCACCTGGTGTCATTCATCGACTTGGTTTGTCAGTTTCAGGAATCTACTTGTTTTATTAAATAACTATTTTTTAAACTGTTCAAGTTCAACATGATACTATATCTACCTACAGTTTATGCAATTGGTTATAACTGGTCGAGGTATTATTCCTGACCTTGACCCAAACAGATAAGCGATACAGACTTATTACACAGATAACGGTAATCTCCTACTGTTATCAGTTGTAATTGATTTTCTAATCTTCAAGTACATCTTATCATGTAATTTGAAACTTATCCCCTTACACAAAGTGTTTCAAGTTATTAATCACATCAAGAAAGTAACATGGTTTAGCAGCCCAGAATTTAATAAGATGCAAAGAATATCTTGTATATCACATTGTATATCTATTGGACCCACAGTTTTAGTGTTTGGACAGATGTTTTTTCCAATGCTACTAAATAGTCCCCAACCCCAGTCCATATCTAATTGACTAACCTTAGCCAGATTAAGTAATATACTAATAGAATATTTGATGACTTCCATATGAGGCAGACTTCGATTACAACTTTTCATTAATGTAAATATAACACTGATAGCATTCACTTCTACCATTCTCTCACAGCATCGTGGTGATAATCTTGTTGCTACCTCTTAAATATATATAATGCATCGTAAATTCAAAGCAAATGGAGTGTTTTGTTGTTCTGGGATAAAGCTGAACAGTTTTTCTATATACTGTTTAAAATTCAGTACAAATTATTACATAACAAGTGAGATATATAATAAAAAACACACAGAAATATATCATCTAATGATGTCATCTAGTAACAAAGTAGGTAACATACAACACAATTTACACGTGTCATCATCAGATGCCGTTAATGTTCTAAAATTCATTCAAATCTTATTAGTAACACCTGATGAGATGACTGAAAATCAATTTTGATTAGTCTCAATAACAATGTTAAATAACAGTCATACAGGGTTAATCAGTAGAATCCGTAACAATTTTTGTTAACATCATTATCATAATTAAAGTCTAGCATAAGCATGTCAATATTATTAAATCATTGCATATATACATGTCATATAATATGATAAACAATTTCTAATTAAATGTTTGGAAAAAAAGTAAACACTATCATAAATTTGGACTTTTTTAAATTACTTGCTGATTAACTTACCTAAATGCATCACAGCTTCTAATACATAAGACATTTGTTTATATCTCAATAAATAATCCAAAGCAGAAGTTGTTCGATTTCCTAATTTGTTTTCTTCACAAGCAGATTCATTGGCTTTGTTAATTCTTCGTCTTATTTCAGCTAATTTTTTTGTATGAGTTTTTTTCCGCAGAACATAACCTTTCCAAACAGCCTGAAATAGATAGTTGTATAATCGTAATTAGATATACCTGTCACACTTGCTATCATATATTTGATCGGTTTCAAAGTTTCAAAACCACTGTGAAATAATTTAAACAATGACAATAATAATGACTACTTTTCAATTAATTTGTACGTAAACTTATGGCTTGATTTAAAAAATCTCAATTTATGGACTTGTTTGGGGAGATATATAATTTATAATATATGTTTTCTATATCTATATTTATCTCTGAATTATAATCATGATGCTAAAACAAATATTATCTGTAATCGAGGGCTTCTGTTATCAATTGCCAATATTTCAGGAAATGTTCTAACAAATAATGATCAAATAATGTATAGCATACAGACCGATCGCTACAGATTAGATAACAAAATAACAAGCATCTTTTATGAGAACAATTTGTCGATAATAATATTTACCTGTATTTTACAAATAAGACGATGTTGTTTTTCAAGTCTATGTTTTACCAACCATAGTTTAACAGCTTTTTGTAAAACAATAGCAGAATTATGACGTTGATGTAACCAATAACGTATGTTATTCTGCAAGTTACAAACTAAGCTACGTAATGTTAAAAATTGTCTTCTCTCTTTTCTTGCTCTGAACTTTCGCTATAATTAGAATGATTTAAATATTTGCAACATAAATGCCAAAAGTAAGTAGCCTACAAAGGGTGATTTTCAAATTGGTTTCAGTGTTGGAGAACTCTACACACCATGTAAGGTGTACTCACACTGTTGTCAACACTAGGTGTCTATGAACAGTGTTTATAGCCCAAAACACCAGCTGAGTCAGCACTAGATATCAACACCAACACCGCCAGACATCAATAGATGTTATTACAAACTTTGAAATCACTCAAAGCCAATGTATGAAGTTTAGTTGTCATTGTTTTTGATCAGACCCTGGATATTATTGTTAAATTTACATTCATCTACTATTTCATTCTCAACTGAATTGGAAGATCAAAACATTTCTTTAAGCCAATTCAAGTTTCATTATCTTGTACAAAAACTGTAATCGCTACATCATCCTCGTGTGCTAAACTAGAAATATTCAGGCTACTGGTAAATCAAGGACAATAACTCAACCAACCCTAATGAAAAAAACCTTATTCACAGCATTACCAATTTCACCAAAATCAAGCAAATAAGATCAGGTTTCTATACAGTATAGATATGAAGTATTGTTTTACCTGTATATAGATAATAGAAGGTAGATATTGTTGTGCTCGTTTTAATATTATATGTTTAAGATATAATCTCTGTATAACTATAGCTGATAGATGATATTTAACATTAACACTAAACTTCACCACAAAATCTCTTCTTTTCTCTACTTCAGCCTATAAATATAACCAAATCATTGAGGTAACAAATAATCTAATAAAAGGTAGAAGCTTACAATCGAAATAGAATAGTATTGAAAAATAATATAAAGCCTTGAAGCATATTTGGGCTCTATAATGAAAACACCAAAATGATACAATTGCGTCTCTTGGTGAAAGTTTTTCTGGCTTGTTGGGACATGAAACATCAACCCCTATGAGAATGGCAGACATGTTAGAAGGCATAAAAAGAATGATCTACATTACAAAACAACTGAAAGTTTCAAGAACTGGAATTGTCATCATGGAATTTGTATTATTTGGTAGATTTACTTGAAAAAATTTTAAAAAGTTACCTTCTCTTTAAGATGTATGATATGATTTCTATATGCTGACTGTATGGTACAAGCTGCTCTGTGTTGAACTAATAAATTATGGTATTGTTTCCTAATTAAATATGTTCTTATTCTTGCTTGTATAACAGTAACACAATTTATAGTCTCTTTATAAACTTTTCTTTGATGATATGATCGCACAACACTTTGAATTTTAATTGCAGCTTCATGCTTTCTTTCAGTCTTTAACCGAACACATTTTCTGAATGTATTTTGAATGAGGAGAGCAGACTTGTGTCTCTTCTGAATAGCACATCTGAGTCTTTTTACCAATAAATATGTTCTGACATTTCTTTGGATTGTAACAATAGCACTAAGAATTTGATGGGAATGTTTCTGAGATAAATATCTTCTAACACATGATTGCACACAAATAATTTTTCGTCTGTTTTCACAATATGTCTGTCTCTGTCTCACACATCGATACCAAGATTGAATTTTAATGGCAGCAGATAACTGTTGTATTGTTTGTATTAATCGACACGAACGATACCATTTCTGAATTTGGAGGACAGCTAGTTTCTTTTGAAGATATTCAGCTCTAGTTTGCATAGTCAATCTATTTGACCTATAAATGTTTTGCAAAACAATGGCTGCCGCTTTCAATTTCAGGAAATGAAGTCTGGCAAGGTATCCTCTTACATTTGACTGTATCAGAATACATTTCAGGTTTTCATCTTTGATTTTCTTACGTGTTAAAAAACCTCTAACCATAGCCTGAATAGTAATTATAGCACCATAAGTCATTAAATATCTTTTGCGTGCTTTCTTAGCTTTTAATGCAGCTCTCCATCTATTCTGAATAATCACAACAGAGTAATAGATATTTTGATAAAGTTTTCTAGTTTTGTATGCTCTGTATACACTTTGGATACAAATGGCAGATGCTTGTTTTTTTCTGTACTGTTTCTGTAACAAATAAGTTCTAACACTAGCTTGAATCTTGACAGCAGCCATGTTTTGTTTCTTCATCTTGTTGTCATGGTATTGTCTCCAAAATTGTTGTATTAACGAAGCAGATTTCTCTTTCTTAGACTGTATTTCCACTGCAAGTTTTTTCTCCCTATAATTTCTATAATACATCTGAATTGTTGAAGCAGCTTTTCGTTGTGTCTTGAACAGTTGAATAGCTAGTATGGTTCTCCACCAGGACTGTATAGTTATAGCAGAAGATCTTTGCTGTACATAACATTGTCTGATTATCTTTGCTTTATACACAGATTGTAAACATACTGCAGCCTTCCGTGTTTGAAGAAACTCACTTCTGCAATTTTTTGCCAGAGAATTATTTTTAAATGTTTTTTGACAAGCAATAGCTGACCTCTTTATTCTCCAGAATTGTTGATAGGCCATATACCCTCTCCATGCTGATTGTATTTTCACTGCTGCATTCATTTTGTGTGAATAAGATTTACGAGCTACATATCCTCTGTATACAGATTGAATCTTTAAAATGGCTGCTTTCTTACAAGCTAAATTGGACATTTCTTGTTTCATTTCTATGTTTCTTCTAATTAGTCTTTGGAGATTTACTATGGCCTTTTTGTCATGACAGTACTTTCTGTAAGAACTGATACATCTCCACCATGTTTGAATTCTTATGATTGTTATCAATGTTCTTTGGTAAATCATTCTTTGTTGGTAACCATGGTAGCAAGACTGGAGTCTAATGGCTGCTTTTTTCATACATACAAATGATAGTCGCTGACATTTAGCAATTCTGTTATTTCTATAAATTCTTTGAATCTGGCAAACAACTGATTTTAGTCGCTGATATTCATGTTGATTGGTCCATCTTCGAAAGACAGTTTGAATTGTGATTGCTGCTTTTCTTTGTTTTAAATATGATCTTCTTATAACATATCCTCTAAATACCGTCTGGATAACAAGAGTACAATGTTTCTGATGAAGATAATGATTTCTGGTGGTTTTTGTTATTTGACTGCTCTTATATAATCTTTGAAGGAAAATGACAGTAGAATGGACTTTCTGAAACGATTTCCGTGCCATGTATCCACGGAATGCTGACTGGATCATAGTTGCTGAACTTTTTCTCAGGTGTGTGCTTCTCTTCTCCATGTAAAGTCTAAAACATTTCTGTATCAGAATGGCTGAAGATTTCTGCTTCTGAAAATGACCTTGACATTGTTTGGTTATTCTACTGTTTCTATAGCAAGTCTGCAGAGTCCTGGTTGCCTGGCAAATTTTTTGAAATCTTTGCTTTGCTATATAAGTTCTGTATGTAGCCTGAATTTTAGTAGCAGAAGTATTCATCTTGTGAAGTTGTTTCCGTGTGATATGACCTCTATAATAAGACTGTAGTTTGACACAAGATGTTTTCTTTAATTGAAATTCTGATTGAACTTGTTTCATGAGTTGGAAGGCTCGGATTCTGACTTGAATGACCTCGATAGCTTTCTTCATTCTTACAAAGTCTTTTCTACATCTCACCATTTTAACATAGCTTTGAATCTTTACAGCTGACAGTTTTTGTTTTCGGAAAGTTTTTACTGCCATATAGGTTTTAAAAGCTGTCTGTATTGAAATGACTGCAGTGTTATATGTTTCATATTCTTTCACTCTCGACATCTTCACAGCACGGTACCTTCGCTGGATAAGTACTGCTGCTTGTCGTTTAGTTTGAAAGGTGTTAACTGCTATGTGTCGTCTGATCAAACTTTGAATCTTTACTACAGCACATTTCATGCTGTTGAAATTTCTTTGTTGTGAAAAGAATCTCCACTGGCTTTGTATCTTAACTGCAGCATTTCTCTGAATTTTTACTTCTTCCTGTGTGCGTTTCTGTTGTAAATAGGATCTGAAATGATGGGACAAAACTATGGCGGCAGCTTTCTGTCGCAAAAACTTGTTGCTAGCTATTTTCATTTTTAATAAAGATTGTAATTTAATTGCTGCTTGGTTCTGTATATGTATATGTTTTCTACACAAGAAACCTCGTACAATAGCTTGTATTTTTGTAGCAGCATCATTCTGTTTCTGTAAAGTTAGTTTTTGCTGCTCAGAATACCAATGTTGTAATAAAATACAAGCCTCCTCTTCCTTTTGTTTTTCAGCTTTCATCAAACACTCATATTTATATTTTCGGTAATATCTTTGAATAAAGATGGCTGCATATTTCATTGCAAGGAATTTAGTTTGTTTTCTATGACGACGATAGTTGGCTTGTATTTTAATGATGTATTGAAGTTGACGGTGATAGACAAGTCTTTGAAGAAAACCTCGGACATATTTCTGAATAATAACAGCTGACCTGACTGTTACTCCTTCCTTCTCTTTTAAAAAACATTTGATCTTTCTTTGGATAGTGATACACGATGATTTTATGGACAGAAATCTCTGCCTATATTCAAGAGTTTGTTTATAACCATGGTAAAATGACTGAATAGTTTTGACTGCTTTCTGTTGTCTCTGTATCTGTTTACGAACCATATAACCTCTAAATAAAGATTGTACTTTAACAGCAGCTGTCTTCATACGCAGATATCTTTTACGTTGAACATTACTCTGAAGAGCTCTCTGGAAAAATAAGAAAAATATTCATGAACATTTCATTTGCTGTAATCATTGATGATAGATGAAACAGACATGAAAATCAAAATTATGAATTTATGAAGTCGTCGGCCAATTTCTTGTCTTATCTTGTGAAGCATTGTTGCAACTGACTCTCCTGAATATCCCTATTTGAAAATATGTAGCCACAATCTACAATATTATCTAGAACTAACCTGTATGGTATGTGCTGCCTTTGACATCTTATAATTCAATTTCAACTTTCTTAATATAGCTGTTCTTTTCCTTGCTTTATACCCTCTCCATAATGCTTGTAACTTAATAGCCGTACATGTCTGTATCTCCTCAAGTCTTCTATTTCTATATTCTCTATAAGCAATCTGGATCACTCTAGCTGCATTATTCAATTTCTTAAAAAAGAACATCAGAGAATCGTGACTAAGGAGCAAAAAGTTGTCATTTTTCTTACATGAAAGAGTTGTTGTTACAGTCTGTTGAAATCTCCCACCCATCCATAAACAAAAGCTCAAGACACCTAAGAGATTCATCACAACTTGAAAACAAGATCACCCCTGTTTTGTTCACTTTTGGCAACATTAATAACAGGTAAGGCATAAATCTGTCATCTTTTAGTCTAAATGACATTGAAAAAATATAAATGATTTAATAATTCAGGGCACAGCTTAAGATGGAATGGCAGACCTGTTGAAAATTCCACTTGTTCGATTACCTGTTGATGTTGAACAGCATGTCGTAGCCAGTATTTTCTCCACGCTATCTGTATAACTCTAGCAGCTCTTGACTCAGCACGTATATCTAATAATCTACCACATAAATGTGAAACATAAGTCATCACAATCTTCTCATCTGGTATGGTATTAGACATATCAGCTGCTTTTAACATGAGAGGTATACCACCTAATCCAGATACCTAGTAATAGATAAACACATAATATTCACGAAATAACCTTGACCTTCTGGAACACCTAATGTTCCCCAACGCTGATCATTTTCTGATTTGAAAGTTTGTGATGTTTTATTTACAAACCTACCTTTTCATATAATAATTTGAAATTTTCTCTTTCACTAATCAGCAACTGTTCAAACATTTCTGGATTTTCCAAATCTGTAATACAATTTTGAAAAATTCATAATTTCAATGGGTATATCATTTATATATATTTAAAATCATTCAGGGATGCTGGTCAGTCTTGTTGTCCCATGACAATATAGTTTATTGATGAATCACATTAAAGTTGTGAGTTCTGACAGTCTGGTGACATTCAATTGGGGAGCACTGAAAATCAAAGATCAGGGGGCACAAATTATCTTTGGGACCATTTTCTCAATAAATCATAAGATTCTTTTATTCTTTTGAATTTTAAGAAAAAATTATCCCTGAAATGAATTTTTGTTGTAAATCCAGATGCCCCAAACGACTTGTCTATAAATATAACGAGAATATTACCAGATTGAGGTGTTTGACTCCAATCAAAACTAGCATCCTCATCAAATTCTTCCTCTTCTTTTTTCTCCATTGCTTCCATATAAGAAGCAGTAGTTTGGGTGTTAATAAGATTAGCTGGTAATAAGGCAGGATAATAATGATGTATTAAATAACATAACGCTCTACCATCAGAGAATGATACAGTAAAATTCTCAACCTACAATAATACAATGACAGCCAATTCATCAGATATTAAATAGCTTTAACAATAGGCCTTTATTTTGTAGCACATAAACATTCTGCAACTAATAATTACATGTATCTATGACAACTCAATAAAAGATGTACAGGTTTTTTAAACTCAGTTGCAGAATGACATAAGGTTTTGTTTAAAGTGATTTCATTGTGTCTTTAATGTCTTTTGAACTCAACCCTAGTTAAAATTAAATTTCTTGAACTTAAAAGATTCTTGATTTTAAGAACTGCCTGTCAAATCTTACCTTTATACCATAATGTAAACAAACTAATCTACACCATTTTAATAATAATGTTAGTCTTTCATTCTTTAATACATCAGTTTCACCTGAATCTCTTCTAGCTACAAAATATATTTTATGAATGGATTAAAAAATACAATAGGCAATACTACAATCTCAAATACAATTTCAAGGGGGCAAAATGCGTCCTAATACAATTCAGAAAGATCACCTTGATTATCAGCTGATGATTTGAGTAATTTCTGCATGCTAACTTTAACACGTAATGTTTTTTCTAAAATAACTATTTCAGCTTTCAGTTGCTCAATATCAATTAAAACATCCACCTACAAAAAAAAAGTAATTCTAATTCAGCTTATGTCAAATAAAAAATTTCACCCAATAGAGCTTTGGTTTCCAACATTTAGTATTAGTTACCCTTTAAGAATATATGTCAACACCTCAAACGATTCTGTGAAGCTCATATTAGACAATTTGTTATATGTATTGTTGTAGGAGTAATTGAAACTCCAGGGTGTTGGTATCAGACAGGCCAAACACATTAACACTAAATTAGTATACCTACCTGAAAATGGAATATAATGTGCCACAATAAATTCAATGTTTTTTCTCTATGACCATCTACAATATCTCTGGCATTTAATTTCATATCTGAAACAATTCATAGAAGATAATTACTATTACAATTCAGCATTATCAGAGATGGAATAAAAAAAAAATCCAGTTTATTAGGCAAAAATGAGAGTGGAGTTTTACATCCTACTTTTCTAAAACTGATCAAGCTAATGAAGAATGGCAATGTCATGCAGTGTGCATTGAGGGAAATTTTCCCAGGACAGTGGCATAAGCCTAATCTTTTTTGAAAATTTGACTATTGGACAGTTTTTTAACATGTAGTCTGTTGCACTCAAGGTCTTGGTCGTCATGGGCCTTTTATTTAATCCACGTTACCTAGTTGAGAAACGTCTAATCCTCTTTCAGCTAGAACTTTAAACACCACTTCTACATTATGTATTTTCTGTAATCTACTGATGGCTGGTGATCGTAATGATGACATTAATGTCCAGTTATTAGTTAAATATTCCATTACACGCCTAGAATAGAACATTATTATCTCCTTTTGTTATAAACTTCGTCTTGAAATAAGTTCTGTATACTATCTTATGTACATGTTTCTTTTCGACTAGATTTCATTTTGTAATTTTTTGTTTAGTGATTACAAAGACAGGGCGTGCATGGTTTACAATGAAAGAGATTTTCCCAGATTTATTGGATTTAGTATTTTATATTCAGAATTAAACAGTAGTTTATTACAGTACTTCAAAAAGCATCATTTACTTGAGAGAAAAAATTGTAAAATAGACAATTTGAAAAAAGACAAAAGTATAGATTGAACTTCTGAAATAGGATAAAAACATGAAAAAAATGACATATGCATCTTGCCAAATTTGAGATAAACTGTTATACACTCTGATTGAAATTTTCAACCTACGTTAATCTCAAGCCGTCGCGTAAATCTACACCTAAAGCTGATACTGCATAATCAAACTCATCTAATGGTGTTTGTATATGACTAACTATATAGCCTAGATAGCCTAAATGTTTAGTTATATCTCCTTCTCCGGACAGGAAATCTCTAGAAAACTGTACCAATAGATTCTTACTAGCCTGTAAACATACAAAATAATTACATACCAGTAAAAAATACACAATTTTCCCATTATAAATCTTGAAAACATTTACTCAGTATCAGAATTAGCTGCTTTGCACATCTATTTGCTTAGCATCTATCTTTTTTTTTTACTCACACAGTAATCTATTGTTGGTTTCTGCACATTATCTTAATATAAAGTTAAATAGTCATCTTTAAGCACAAATTTCTGACATCTCTCATCACTTTATACAGATTCCACAGATTAATACAAACCTTTATATCAGCATTCTTACAGATTAATACAAACCTTTATATCAGCATTCTTACAGATTTATACAAACCTTTATATCAGCATTCTTACAGATTAATACAAACCTTTATATCAGCATTCTTACAGATTAATACAAACCTTTATATCAGCATTCTTACAGAATAATACAAACCTTTATATCAGCATTCTTACAGATTAATACAAACCTTTATATCAGCATTCTTACAGAATAATACAAACCTTTATATCAGCATTCTTACAGATTAATACAAACCTTTATATCAGCATTCTTACAGAATAATACAAACCTTTATATCAGCATTCTTACAGACTAATACAAACCTTTATATCAGCATTCTTACAGACTAATACAAACCTTTATATCAGCATTCTTACAGACTAATACAAACCTTTATATCAGCATTCTTACAGAATAATACAAACCTTTATATCAGCATTCTTACAGAATAATACAAACCTTTATATCAGCATTCTTACAGAATAAACAAGGATCATGATCTATAAGACGAGATTGTTTAGCTTTATCTAAGAAATATACCAGTAATAAAAACTTCTTTAGTGTATGAGATGAGGAAGCTTCAGCATAACCTGAAATAGAAACAACCATAATTAATATTATTAGGAGTTGAGGGATAAATTTATCTACATATTTGCTTATCATTTTTACCAACAATGTCATTTAATAATTAGACGCTGATCTCAATTGTCTTCTTGGTGTGTAGACGCAATTGATCATGTGATAAACTGAGTACAATGACAAAGTCATTCAGGCGTGATTAATTGTGTTTACACACCAATAATGCTATCAACTCTTAACTTTACATTTAGATACTTCTATTAATACAATTTCAACTACAGTTTATTTAAAAATAAACGCCACTTTACGTAACTGGTTCATTGAAGTCATAAAAAAATTTAAATATATAGTAATAACACTGTACATCTAATTTCTATTCTGAAAAGCTTATAAATAAATATTTTACAGTTCATGTCCTATTATTGAACATTAAACACACACAATGCATTATTTTATCTGTATATTGTACAGTAATCACCTACCATCTCTGTATAAATGAGGAACTGAAGCATGTGCATATTCTGCTGCTATATCAGGATTACTGAGTAAACGATACAATATAAATCTTGATAAACCAATCACATCATTATTAGATTGTAATAATATCATTTCACCAAAAATTGTCTACAATAAAAACATAATAATACTTTACAGTTCTATACATTATTTTTCCTATAGATTATGGATCATGGATCTACCTTCAACCAAATTCTTTAACACAATTTTGTGTTTAATAATTTTAAAAGATCTTACAAAACCTACCTCCAGACCAATTCTTAACCACAGTGGATTATAACATAGTAACATATCTAATATACTCTGTTTAATTCCTGAAAAACAATTCAAATTATTTCAAATGACTTAGTTGTTGATTGATAGTTTCTGAACTAAGTTGATTAGGTCGTGATTCTTTTATTGGTTGGCAGGTAAAATCTGGAGAATGAGTCTTCTTTCCTAATTATTAGTCCAGTCAACTCAGCTGTAAATGGGTATGGATAATTCGGAAAGACCAATGCAAAGACTTAAAAAGTTTGGCAAAGGCCCAGCTGGTTGAAAGGCTCCTCGTGAACCTTAGTTGTTACCCTCATAATAAATAGTTGTTTATTACTTTCAATAAAAAAATAACTTACCTAGATCAGCATGTAGCATTCTATCTTTTCTAACAGCAAGTCTTCTACTTTCTACCTCTATTTCAACTTTTCGTATAACATGTATGACTGATTCCGATTGGTACAACTGACATGAAGCTCGCCTCAATCTATTCATTCTACGTCTAGCAGTATACGCTCTAATTGATAAAACTTCTTTAGTTGGTGCTAACCTGGTATTACCACTTCCCTTCATACCATCAACAAATATAGACCCAGCATCAACTAGAGAAAGTGGAGAAAATATGTCTTATGTACATCAAACAAACAGATAAAAATAAGAGTTATTACCTCAAATATCAAAGATTGTATTATACCATAGAAATAGGCTCATAGTTCATTATTAGCATTATCTTTATATCATTTATGAAAGGTTACCTTTTGTCTTTTCCACATTATTATTATATTCTTCAGGTGGTGTCAATATAAAATTTAACCAATGTGAAAATCCACGTTCTTGTTTTTCAAGCCATCTTTCATCATAGTACATATTTCTAGCAGCAAAGGGCATGGGATGTTTGGGTACTGCTGTTTTGGGTTTCTTAATCAACATTAACTTAGTCTGAGACAATCCTTTCACTGGTCCTCTTGGCTTTTTAGTACTTGAAGGTACACTAGTAGAGAGGGCTGAAATAAATCAAGGTTTAAATGATTATCCTTGGACTTAATACAGAAAGTCCTTATCCATATCACTTCAATTTGGAGACACATCTGATGAGATCCTCAAGACAAGGACTCAAACAGCCCATTGTCCTAAAGGGTTGAACATTCATTTTCAATATATCATTTTCCAATGCATTGGATGCATGTTGACACAGTTTCAACCAAAGGCAAAATCAATTATTTTACTCACATTTTTTGATAACTGGTGCTGTAGATGTCTTTGGTTGTTTGGTTGTTGATTTATCTAAATTGGTTGATGATTTTAAATTCTCTCTAGGCGTGTTTCTATTATTGGTAGATCTTGTTAAACTGGCTACTGGTTCAAATTTCTTCTCAGCTGACATTTTAGAAACAACAGGGTTGACAGAACGTCGACGATCAGTGGTAGCTTTACTAACAGTGTCTAATCTTTCTCTAGAAGTTGAAGGAGCTAAAGATTGACGTCGTGATGGAGGTGGTTTACTCACAGTACCTGAGTTGAAGGGTTTAGTCTTTTTTACTGATGTAGGAACTGGAGGTTTAGTTTTAGTTTTACTACTAGTTGGTGATAATGTGACACTAAAAACATCAGGTGTTATAGACCTATTACCAGTACTGTTGTTTATATTGAACTCTTTTTTACCTCCACTACTGCTTCCTGATGGCTTGCGTTCTCTTACTGACTGTCTACTGCTTCCACTCCTTGAAGGCTTTTTGGGAGAAACAACTTTTTGAGAAGACTTCTGTCTTTCTGATGATTTCAATGATCGAACACTTGTTTCACTCTCTATTGAAATATCTGAAATATCTTTGGATAGATCCTCTAAACTCTTTAAGGACATTGTGGATTCATTTGGGATTGACAACTGGTCAACAACTGGTGGAATGTTTTCTTGATTTTCAATCTTTTCATTTATGCTATCTGGTTTTTCTTTTTCCTCAGAGACTGGCTCCAACACATCATCTAAAGGTGGGAAGAGTCGTTTTGGACTAACTGAAGAGAGATCAACAAATTTTGGAGATGCAACTAAATGAGTTGATCTTCTGGACATATCAGGATTAGGAGATGTTGGTAGTTTACTTGGAGAACCAAGAAGAACTGGAGAAACTGGTGCTTGGGTGAATAATGATTTGGTAGGATCCTCAACTTTCAGCAGACTAGGACTTTTCTTCATTTCTATCACCATACATGTATCATTGTTCTCTCCATTCGACTCTCTACCAGTTGGTGTACATTCAAATACATTATTATCAAGAACTCTCTGAGTTGCATGAAGAAGGGCATCAGAGGGCCGTTGTTTGGTAACTGTTAATGTTGTTCTTCTAGTGGATATTTCACTAGGACTGGAAGGAAGAACTGATGGGGAACCAAATTCGTCAATAAAAGGTGATGTTCTCTGAGGAGTAATTGTACTCTCTCTATCCTCAAATAGGTTTTTACCGATCACTTTCCCATGAACTTGAGATGGTTTGTCTTTAGTAACAGTTCTTGCTAATGGTGAGGTATCTTTTTTAGGGGAATTTGAGTCAAAAAGACGCTTGCCATGAGTTCTCTTTGTATCCTGCAAGTTTGGAGAAGGTTTATCTTTAGTAACAGTACCAGTAAATATCTGATATACTTGCTGTGTTTCAGTTTGTATTGTTACTTCTTCTACAACTTCTTTAGTTCTGGTCATAGCTACAGAGTCAAAAGTGATCACTTCTTCTTTTTCTTCTCTAGATTTACCCTGTTTAGATACAGGGGTCTGACCAACTTTATTCGACCCTAACAATTTTCTTCTCTTTGGTTTATCCTCTTTATTAATACTTTCTGTTTTTTTACAACTTTTCGTCAATTCTTCCTTCTTGACAGAGGCTCTGTTCTTCTTTAAAGATACCAAGAAAGTTGTTCTCCTTGGACTTTGATAATCAACCTGTTTTTTAACTATTTTCTCTGTTTTCTTCACTTGCTTCTGTTTTAGAAATGTTGTCCTTCTGTCTTCTGCACCTTTACCAACTGTAGGATTGGACAAGTTGACCACTGGTGCTTTACTGGATGAAATTTTCTGAATACATTTCTTTTGGGTATGTGACAGTAACTTGTCAAAAGATTGTTCATGGAGACTTGTTTGGACATTCTTCAGTTGTTCAACAATCAAGTTGTGAGGAATGGCATCTTGTAAAACTTTAGATGGACTGGGGACTTCACCTTTCAAGCTACTGTCTCCATGAGAATTGTTCATATCTTCTAGAAAGGAGTTTGGACTAACCGTCTGATTTTCATGGATACAGGCAAACACTGGATGCTGCTTAATAGGCACCTTGACACTATCTGGATTCAGAGAATCGTTTAAAAATGTCTCTGGTGACAGGAATTTTTTCTCTGTGCTTTTAATTATTTCTGGTGCTGATTTTGTTTTTGGACACTTCAGAGGGGAATTTTCCTTATTTTCATTCTCTGTACTTTTATTTCTTGATGAATTTCTGGAGTTTTGACCCTTTCTATTTTTAGGTGTATCTATTAATGTATCTTTATCAGAGAGTCTGCTGCTCTTATCCTCTAATTCTGCGATTCTTTTACTGATTACACTGGTATCATCTACATCTCTTAAAGCTGAGAACTGAGTATCAGAATAACATGAATCAGCAACTACACAAGATCCATCAACCTCAGATGTTTTCAATATTGGACTGAATGTTGGTGAACAGCCTAGTTCTGGTACTCTATCACCATTATTAGTATAACCAATAGATGATACTGATATAGCAGTAGATTCTAATGGAGGTGGGGTATTTTCACCAGAATGTTTATCAAGTAATTCATATTTCTCACCAACTACTGGGTGTTGTTTAACATTACTCAGCCTTGGTTTCTCGGCATCCAGTGGACTATAATTATCTCTAATACAAGCCAGGCCTGGGGTACTTATTATAGAAAATGGCTTCTTTACTTTAATACCCAACAATCCTTTCTTCTGAAAGAAAAAGTGCAAATTATCAGAATCATTTTTTTCTTTACACAAATTTCGAAAAGCTACCATATAAAATTGCATTAAGCTTGAAATTAGAAATGGGTTTTGATCTTGTAAAAGATATCATAGCATGCTTTAAAGATTAAAGAATTACAATCTAACAGTTCATGTAAGCTTATATACCAACTAATACCTACACCACGTTTTGTTACTTTTTTCTGTTTAATTTCTTCTGCATTACCAAATACATAGGCTTGAAGTCTGTAGACACCATCTACTTTAAATAATACCATTTCTCTACAGCTGCTAGCTTCATCAGGTGCCCAGGTTATCGATAGTGTCTTATAATCATCAGGGTCCACAGTAAATTTGGTTGAATCAATGGAGAAATTCTTCTTATAGGGAAATCTTTCAACTATCACTTCTTGTTCATATTCATGTGGATTACGCACAATCAATATTCTAGACTTAGCTTTACCCACTTTTATATTACCAAATCCTATTCTAGGAGCACTGGTAAAGTGGGTCAATATCAAGGTTTCAACTTCTTCATCACTTTTACGTCTGGCAGCACCAGATGAACGTCTTTTCTTTTTTTCAAGAGCAATTTCTAATTTGGTAGGTGGAGGGGTTTCAAACCATGATCTTCTCATCTTTTTCTTTTGTGATGGTGTTCCCATCCCATCACCATTTAGTATTGATGTTGACAGGGAATCATTTAATTCTTCATTGGTTGTCATCTTCAAAATCTATGATCTTTCTACATAACAATCTGAAACAAGCAACATAATTGTTAGAAAGGCCTTAAAAAAGCGGCTAATATGTGATTTATGATCTTGTATCCTCCAACTTAATTCCTCTTAAAAAAAATCATCTCTATCTTATAAATGAATGAGCACAAAGTCTTCAGGGAACTACACCTAGGTTATCTATTTAATATGCTACTTGTTATATAACATTGGCAAATACTTAAACTACAGGTATATATAGTGAGATGAAATTTACCCATGCAGTCGAGTACTACATAACTTTCACCAAGGCCGTTTGTGTCAGTAATTTGTCAGCACTTAGTACAAGATTTATAGTCAAGTAAAACTTTACTCAATCTATAAAGAGATCAGACAGTGATTGTTACTATAGGACAGGCTTTCGCACTCATTCGGCAGAGATTCACTGGTGTTCAAGGTTTGAAATAATTAGAAATACTACCTTGCCTAGACAGTCACAGAGAGTAACAGTGGGTAACATGGCAAGGATAGAAGTAAAAGTCAAGTATAGATGTAAACTGTAGGTGTAGAGTATTTGACTATTTTTTTGTCTAAACATTGACCTCAGTCAAAACAAATTTCGATTTCAAAGCGATGAGTACTCCTGTTAACAAGAAATAGACTAGATTCTATCATTATTAGTGATCAGTAAATATTGAAGATGATAATATTATATTCTTAATCTTATCCTCTTACATGCAGTCATAGGCTACACATAAAAAATTTACTTTACATTTTACATGCGAGACATTAGATCTAAATCTCACATATATCATCAAAAAAATATATATATTACCTAAGAAATAACTAGTCAATCTAGCTAAATAAGCAGCGATATTTCATATGCAATAGATCATCATATTTGTGCAAATATTACCAAAAACGCCACAAAGCTCGAGGTAGACTTCCAATCTTCACGCAGTGGCATCCATCTTTTCGAATTTCGTACTTCTCCAAAAATTGACCAATAAAGATAAAGCTTACAATTAAATGAACCAATCAAAAGCAATTTCTTTAAATGGATTATTTTGTCACATGACACTTATCACATGATCGGGAAAATGGCTGATGCGAAAGTAATATTATGGTAACAAAACAAGATATGAAACAATTGAATAAATCTAGCCTTGAGGCTTTTGATTAAATTGATATGATTCCATTTTAATATATTGGTATTTGGAAATAAGGCTAAGAGATAAAGATGATGAACATGATGCCGGTAAGTGTACAAAGATAAAATATTTCAACTTAAACAAAAAATGGCACAACCAAAGGAAAGCCCGAAAGGCAAAAAAACAAAAGAGAAGAGAAAGTTATTAACTTATTTATAAGCCAATCAAGGGCCTAATCCACGTAATGCAAGATAAATACACCACTCTCCCAGCCACTACAGTAAGGCCTAATTGTAGGTAGCAGCAGTAAAGTAAGCAATATATTTAGAATTAGGCTTTGCAGGAGGATCCCATTAACTTTTTCAGTATTATACAGTAACCTATTTTCATGCATATAAAGATTCAACACCGACGTTCTTCAAAGTTAAAAAGATCTTTTTTTTTACGTCTTAGATGTTTCTTCAGATATTCTATTATATAATTAGAATTGGTTTGTTTCGATTGTCTTTATGAATCCCTCACTTTGACCCATATTTCATTAGTAACCAACTCAACAACTGCGGCAAAATGCGTCACCTATTTTCGTGTACAGTGTTTGATCTATAAATAAGTCTAGAAAAACATGTTGTATGGATACCCTTCTTCTCTTATTATTTATTTTTAATATCAATTCATTATAATTAATGACAATTCCTTCAAGGAGCCGTGATTTAAAAATAAATAGTGACTGACAAAATAAGATACGTAGCGTGATTTATTGCTATAAGTCATTGAAACAACATAAGAATATGGCTCACATTGTGTTCTATAGAATTTTTCTGCTGACAAAGATTCCGCTAGTTGATCACGTGACTTCATTCGTGGGACTACATTCTAGGAGACAACACTTGGAATTTCAATTACAGCTAAGGATTATAAGGAAATTCGTCTGATAAAAAATTGTGACGTTCGGTAATAACTGAAATCTGCCATTTTGTATTTGTCAAAGTAAACATTAATACATTTCCGGGGGTGCACGTAATTAGGTTACTTGACTGTACTAGCTATTTAGCCAGTAAAAGGGTTCCAGGTAGCCTCATTTACCTAATATTCCTCTTGTTATCACACATGTAATAAAACTTGTGTCATCAATGGTGCCTCAGGCTTTTAAAGTTTTTTAAACTGGATTTAGCTTAGTCAGATTTCCTTTCATCAGATGACAAAGTAAAGTAGCTCTAGTAAGTTGAGTTAACCTTTGTCATTACTGTTGATAGGTCAACTCTTTTTCAGCAGTAGTAAAGTAAAGTGGTAGATTAAATGTTATATTGTTATATGAAAAACCCCAAATTAAAATTTTTTATTCAAGAAATACCTCCAAAAATACCGTTTCTTTATCTGTAAGTGAATATGTCAAGAGCAGAATTTCACAAATAGGTATAAATGAAATTCCTTTGTGCAAAAATCTTAAACATTGCAATCAATCTAGATTTTGGCCATGGTATGACATTTTTCCATAAGCTGATATAGATTTTAAAGTGGAAAACCATAAATCTACAATAACTTTACTGTTTTCTTTATCGACTCAAAAGAGATCTAAATTTATATTAGCCAGATATTAAATCAAGCAAATACTAATCATGAAAATTTGTGTTCAATTTTATTTATTTTTCATTTAAAAGAATGCTCAGAAAAGAAATAAACAAAATGTTTGCCACTAAATTATAATCAAGTTGAACTTTTAGCAACTCAAATGTGATATAGATAAGTATTTCTGGTCATATTTCTTTAGATTATGTTGGCAAGAAAACCATGTTTGTTTAATAGATGACTGAAAAATTAAATTTGATTGTGAACAATTGTATTTCCTAACAACAGTCTATTGATAGACTTTTAGTGAAATTATTAAGTGAAAAAATCAAACTTTTTTTTGCAAAAAAACTAACTTCATACATCTTACAGTATTTTATAAACATCTAATTATATCACATTGTTAATGACTAAGATATAATACAGGTACAGGATGGACACCAATGATTTTATTGTTTATTTTTATAGTTTAAAAGTGTAAAAATTGTAAGTAAAGTTAAGTATAGGATAAAAAATAAATGTCAAGTAAACAATTAATATAAGATAAATACTTATCAACTTCCCTAAACATTTGAAGAATTAAAGATGAGATACCCTTAGTTTGTGAACATCTGGAGATCTATCCTGTCAAAAACTGTCAGATTATATGATGTTTAAATTATTGTTCAATACCTTCTTTGAATATGTGATATCACATGTAAACGTGATAGTAATCTTATATATTCTCATGGTGTTTATATATTATCATTTGTCCATCAAATATCAATCAAACATAAGTCAACTGCAATTGAGGCATCCAACATAACTTCATCTGTTACTGAATTTAGGAAACCAAAAAAATATCAGTTAATTCTGCTCAAAACCTCACATACTGATATAATAATTCAAATAATGTAACTTAGGTTATCCAGTCACTAAAAGAACCTAGCAGGATAGGTTTTAATTTGCTTTGATGTCAAAATGATTTTATATTTTTCAGAACAGTATTTAACCTTGAGAACCTTAAGGCAACATTTCTTGAAAGTTACAATATTTTTCCTTGTGATATTTAAATGTGGTGTCTCATTTCTTCACTTTTTCTACATTTTATAAAATAACAATGTATTTTTTTTCAAACTTATATTGTGTCAGTATATGTTTATAAATGTTTCAAGCCTGTTCAACATGTTCACACTGAAGTGTTTTATTTGTCTTGGGTTATCAATCTGTTGATGGTGTATGAACAAGGCTGTGAACAAATACACAGAGAAGGTGAATCAAGTAAAACTCATTCCTTAAAGTGATTATCCCTGATAGATTTTATGTCAATAATTTTAGTTTTCACATACCGGTATAGGGATATTAATATTCTAAAAAGAGCGAACAAATTTTTTTTTATTATGTCAGCTCCAAAAATTGCCTCCAAAACAGATATCGACTGAGCGTTAATTGAAAATAACACTTTACACTTTAAGGGCATTAAGAAGACATTTTCTAAGTGATAATTGTGTATAACAGACATCTAATTAGTGACTTTCATTGAAATCTGGTATGTCACCTTTAAAACTAAACTTGCTAAGTATTATAGTCTGTTTAATATTTTAGTATTTTATAGTTATGTAATGCGTGAACATATGGACATATATTTGACAGAGTTGTATAAATTAGAAAGTTAAAACATAATCTGTGAAAGGTGAGAAATATTTGAATAATTGCCAACTTTTTAGACTTGTTTATGGTGACACTCATTTTTTATTAATTAATTTTTTTAAATTTTTTTTTAGATGTTCTTTGTGCTGAAAACAAAGTTAAAAAATTTTCTGTTTGAAAATTTGAATATACAAGATATACAGGGTAAATTTCTCTCTTGTATTATTATTACAAATTTGGTTTGTTAATACATTCCTGATAATTTCAGGCTGTCTTGGAATTATTTTACATATATTTCCCATAGTTTTGAAGCAATCAGAGAAAAAAGGCAAATCTGGATTTTTTTTCTGCAAGTGACTGCACTTGCCATCCATGATCAGACAAATTTGTCATGTTTCTCATGTTCTTTTCTTTTTGTTTTGCAGGTTTAATTATTGCTTGTTTGTGTGTATTTCTCGTGACAGCCCTATATGAGGCATTAAAACTCATTCAGTTGTATTTTCAACTTCGTGTGAGGCAAGATCCTTTAACTTATGCTAAAACAGACAATTCAACAAGTGATAGAAGTGTTTTGTTGACTCCTTTTCTGATACCAGTGAATATTCAACAGATTAGAAAACAAAGGTTAGTATTATGACTCATGGTAGCTAGAAAATGGTACCCAGATGTGTGTATGACAGTGGCTATGCAGTGTACCATCTCCTCTGTGCATTTTCAAAATAGGCTTTTTTGCATTAACGAAACTGATGTATGTTCATCAGGTATAAGGGAAATTTGCACACAAAAGAAAATGATTTATTTGATTCAAAGAGCTGAAAGATAGGGAATAGAACTGCATTGTCGTATCATATCATTTGCTTTGTAATTTTATTTGGGGATATGTTCAATTTAAAAAAACAACAATCCTGAACACAATTTTTGCATATTTCAGGTTAAAATTTCATTTCTATGGTTGTCTAAGTCACATGGTAAATTTATCTCTAGCTTATTTTATTATGTTAGCAGTTATGACCTATAATGTATGGTTAGGTTTATCTGTCTTAATAGGTAAATATTGTTCACGTTCTTTACTGTTCCATATTGAGTCATTGATAAGTGTTCAGGGCATCAAAAAATGCTTTAATCTGATAAAGATACTTTGTTTCACACTAAGTAGTATAAAATTTATATCTAACAAGGAATGAAATACTTCACATTTGGTATGTAAGAGACACCAGGAAATTAATGCTGTACTGGTATATTGTTATTCTGGGGCATTTAAACCACAGTCAAGTATACCCAAAATCTTAATGCTATTGTGGTGAGACTTGTTATTTGTTTAGCATTCCTTTATGATGCTTATAATTTCTCAAATATAAATAGATTATGTAAGGTCTTTATGTCTTCAAATATAGCATTTTTCATTGAAATTTCTTTTGTGAATGTTGTAGGTGCTGCAACAGGCTACCATGTATTTGGGGCTGTTGGTGTTCAAGTCACTAGTAAATTTACAAAGGTAGCAGCAATTAAAAGACTGAATAATGAGGATACAAACATTTCAACACAAGCTACTGATCCAGTGCCTGATAATTGCCATATATAAGTTTTGTGCTATGGAGAGTTTGATTTGCGCAGTCACAAAATACCTCTGACATCTCTTGAGTTATATGGAAACGACCTCTCTAGAGTTATTGGAACTAATCTTTCAGATTTTTTGATAATGATTCAGTGATTCGTTAAGTGACATTTTGTATTTATTTGATGATTCAGTTGTCGTGTTTTTGGCTATATTTTTAATGTGATTTTATCATAATATACAGGTACTATGGAATACCATAATTATTTGATTTTATATAGACTTGATTTTATTCCCACAACAATGCTTTGAATTGTGCTTTTTAGAATTGTTGATAGTATGATTTATTGTAATTGTTACGGTATTTAGGGTAAACAACTGTCTAGTCTGTTGAATATTGTTGATATTTATGTCTGTTTATGTATTTAGTTCATATCATTTATTTACAGATTTCTTAAGCATATGCAAAGGAAAATTTATTAAATTTAAGAAAACATTATGAAGTAATATTGCTTATGTTGTGTTTGCAATAGTAATCTCATCAAGTCCTTATTATAGGAACCACAGACGTTGGTGAATGTTGATGATGATTCAATCATTATTTAAGTAAATGTAAGTAATTGATGATGATTCAATTATGATTATTAAAGTGCATATAAGTCAATAATGATGAATCAATTATGATTATTAAAGTACATGTAAGTGAATGATTATGATTCAATGATTATAAAAGTGCATGTAATTTAATGATGATGATTCAATGATTATAAAAGTGCATGTTATTGGATGAATATGATTCAATGATTATTAAAGTACATGTAAGTCAATGGTGATGGTTCAATGATTATTAAATTGAATAATGATGATTCACGTGCTGAGTATGTGTAATTGATTCAAAGATGATTATTGAATTTCATGTAGTTGAATGATGATGATTCTATGATGATTGAATACTATTCATTATTGTTGTTGATCCATCAAGATTGCCCAAAATCAGTCTATATATCCCTTAACACATTAACAGAAGCTGATGCTACGATGCTACAACCAATGTAAATGTTACAAGGGCTCGATTGACATTGCATGTCCTTGATGGACTCAGTTTATAGTTTTGGTTTGTTAAAGGTCTTTTCTAAAAAATTTTAAGGAATATTATTGTTGTTATTTATGTTATGTTATATGGATTAAGGGCTGCTATATATTTGTATAAAATGTATTTGAATAAATACTGTAAATATAACATCTTTATTAGATTTCTCTAAAACATTATCTTATATGATATAAGATACTTTAAAATATTCCTGTCAAACAATATGGAATTAATCAGTATACATTTCTGTCAGGACTAGAGCTTTACATTTTATTTTTTATCTAATATTCATCCATCTTAAAAACATATGCAAAAATCTGGAAACTTTTCAAATCAAGGATCGAATGATAAAATTTCTTCATATTTACATGAGAACAATATTACATAAATTAAATGATATACTACAGATAATCATGGTAACAATATATAAACTAAATGATATACTACAGGTAATCATGGTAACAATATATAAACTAAATGATATACTACAGATAATCATGGTAACAATATATAAACTAAATGATATACTACAGGTAATCACGGTAACAATATATAAACTAAATGATATACTACAGGTAATCATGGTAACAATATATAAACTAAATGATATACTACAGGTAATCATGGTAACAATATATAAACTAAATGCTATATTACAGACAACATGGTAACAATGTATAAACTGAATGACTTACTACAGACATCATGGTAACATGGTAACAATATATAAACTAAATGATTTACTACAGACATCATAGTAGCAATATATAAACTAAATGCTATATTACAGACAACATGGTAACAATGTATAAACTGAATGACTTACTACAGACATCATGGTAACATGGTAACAATATATAAACTAAATGACATACTACAGACATTATGGTAACAACATATAAACTAAATGATATACTACAGACATCATGGTAAAATGGTAACAATATATAAACCAAAATGACATACTACAGACATCATGGTAACAACATATATACTAAATGATTTACTACAGACATCATAGTAACAACATATATACTAAATGATATACTACAGACATCATAGTAACAATATATAAACTAAATGATATACTACAGACATCATGGTAACAATATATAAACTAAATGATATACAACAGACATCATGGTAACAATATATAAACTAAATGATATACTACAGACATCATGGTAACAACATATAAACTAAATGATATACTACAGACATAATGGTAAAATGGTAACAATATATAAACTAAATGATTTACTATAGACATCATGGTTACATGGTAACAATATGTAAACTAAATTACTTACTATAGACATCATGGTTACATAGTAACAATAATAGAAACTAAATTACTTACTACAGACATCATGGTAACAATATATAAACTAAATGATATACTACAGACATCATGGTAACAATATATAAACTAAATGATATACTACAGGTAATCATGGTAACAATATATAAACTAAATGATATGCTACAGACATCATAGTAGCAATATATAAACTAAATGCTATATTACAGACAACATGGTAACAATGTATAAACTGAATGGCTTACTACAGACATCATGGTAACATGGTAACAATATATAAACTAAATGACATACTACAGACATCATGGTAACAACATATAAACTAAATGACATACTACAGACATCATGGTAAAATGGTAACAATATATAAACTAAATGACATACTACAGACATCATGGTAACAACATATAAACTAAATGATTTACTACAGACAACATGGTAACAATATATAAACTAAATGATATACAACAGACATCATGGTAACAATATATAAACTAAATGATATACTACAGACATCATGGTAACAACATATAAACTAAATGATATACTGCAGACATAATGGTAAAATGGTAACAATATATAAACTAAATGATTTACTATAGACATCATGGTTACATGGTAACAATATATAAACTAAATTACTTACTATAGACATCATGGATACATAGTAACAATAATATAAACTAAATTACTTACTACAGACATCATGGTAACAATATATAAACTAAATGATATACTACCGACATCATGGTAACAATATATAAACTAAATGATTTACTACAGACATCATGGTAACAATATATAAACTAAATGATATACTACAGACATCATGGTAACAATATATAAACTAAATGATATACTACCGACATCATAGTAACACGGTAACAATATATAAACTAAATGATTTACTACAGACAACATGTTTACATAGTAACAATATATAAACTAAATGATATACTACAGACATCATGGTAACAATGTATAAACTAAATGATATACTACAGACATCATGGTAACAATATATAAACTAAATGACTTACTACAGACATCATGTTTACATGGTAAAATTTATAAACTAAATGACTTACTACAGACATCATGGTAACATGGTAACAATATATAAACTAAATGATATACTACAGACAACATGTTGATATGGTAACAATATATAAACTAAATGAATTACTACAGACATCATGTTTACATAGTAACAATATATAAAGTAAATGAATTACTACAGATATCATGTTTACATAGTAACAGTATGTAAACTAAATGATTTACTACAGATATAATGTTTACATGGTTACAATGTATAAACTAAATAATTCACTACAGACACATGTTTACATAGTAACTATAGATAAACTAAAGAATTGACCACAGACACAATCATGTTTACATAGTAACTATAAATAAACTAAAGAATTTACCACAGACAAATGTTTATATGGTAACAATATATAAACTAAATGATATACTACAGACATCATGTTGACATTTAAACCCATTGATTTACTTATTGTTTTTAAGGCATCAATTTTTAACTAAAAGATTTACTACATATATCAAGTTTTAAAAAATAATTCACTGGAAAGCAGAATTGAAACATCTTTCAGTCCTGTTAGGAATTGATCCGGTGGAATATCATATCTCATGCAAGGGACAATAGAAACTTAGTCGAACTTATAAGAAATTGTAATTATCATTCCGGCAATTTCGCTTATCAGTCCGTGTGAAACCAGTAATTTTACAAGTGACTCCAGAATGCATAATCAGATATAATAGTCTAGCTCATTGGTCGTCGATTGAATTTACCACTCTTGTAGATACGAGTTGCATTCCTTTGCCAGAAAACTTCTCTTCCTCGAGAATGTTTTGGATTTATAAATATTTAATAATAATGAATAATATAATAGAGTTTACGTTGTTTAACTCAACACTATCAGATGCAAGTTATTTCCGAGCGATGTGTTTTGTCCTACATTTTGTTCAGACCTAGCCAGTTTATAAACATCATAATTTCCAGTATTATTTATATTTTTTCAATAAAAAAAACCAAAAAAACCAACAGCAAATGAGTCCTTGTGGGTTTATAAGTCAGGTAAAATATTTTCCTTTGAGTTTTTATGGTATTTAGAACCCTTTCCCTCGGAAAATTCCTTTAGATGCGGGATTTTAAGTATCACTAAAACCCTCAGCCATGTTTTATCCTAAAGATAAAAACCCGAGTGTTTTATCCTCTAAATCAACTCAATGATTAATTTTACATCTAAACAGTACCTCGAAATTACACTCTTTAACTGCAGCATGTGGCCTTGGTTTCAATTATTCAGAAGCAGTCTAAGAGATAAAGATAAACAATTGAAACCAGAAACTCTACAAATATTATTGTGATCTATGACGTCATAATTCAACTATTGTTTCCCCAACTTCAACAGATGGTTGAGTATTATTGAGCCTACCCTACTAACGTAAGTTCTTTTATTTTTAAGGTTGGAAGGGCGAACGTGAAGGAGATCACTATAATTAACGGTGCGTATTGATTTTATTAACTCCTTTAACCATTAAATATTAACGCTTGATTTATTGATTGTATTTCTAGATCGAGTGTTAAGAATTCTTCTGTTGTATTTCACAATTTAAAGTTTGGTATCATTGGATTTGTCCAGAAACCTTAAATATGGCTCAAAGATTGAGAACATTAATACAAGAACGTAAGTTAATGATATTAATATTAAGACTACAATAATTAATCAATGATATTTAGGATATATCATAGGTCTTATCATATCATCTTCATATGGAAATGTTGACGTATATTACCGTTGCTCCTGTACGTCCGTCCGTCCACATTTATTGTAGACACGACAGACACTTTGTATGCATGTATATATGGATGAGATCTGGAGTGCTCTTAACCTAGTCAAATTTGTCCTGCAGACACCATTGGCAAGGGCAACAGTCTTTAACAAATATTGATGAAACTTTGTATGCCCCATGTATGTTATATGTATTTCAGTAAATAAAGACATTGGTATCATTTCTGGCAGCTACCAGTGGGCGTATGTTATCTTGCTTGGCAAGCTAATATTTAAGAGGAGTGGATCATATTAATACATTATTCCTAGGAAGATGTGTTAATTTCAAATGCCAAGTCATCAATCCATAATTTTCTATACATCTGACAACATTCTTTTGCAGTGAATTAGAAATTTTAAATTGAATATTTAGAAAATTTACAAATCACAGTAGTCGAATAGAGGACACATTTTCACTTTCACTCATTCCAGGTGAAAATCAATCATCCGGCGGATTATTGGGATATTTGGCAAAGAGAAGAGGGCGAAAAGCTTTAAAACGTCAAGTCGATCAAGGTATATATTATATTTTAGGTGATTGTGCATTTTTCAATGTATGAAATTACATAGAAAATATTAAGCCTATATGAAAACGATTGGATGTGATATACAATAAAAGACACAAATAACAACGGCACGCAGAATTCTTTGCATTCATTCTGCACTAAACTTAAGATTCAAGACGTTCGTGACGTAATATTTCAGAAATGGTCAACAGACTTTGTGAAACAGAAACTATGTTAGATGAACTCCAAGCTGAATTAAAATATATCCGTGAACATCGTCAAGAACAAGAAGGTGAGATTTTTCATACCGAAGTTTTCTAAAACATGAAATTCAGAATAATTACAAGAGAAAGAACTTTCAGAAACAAACTTTCATGAAATCGCACAAGCTGTGTGTGTCTGTGTCAATCCGGGACCATCTGTAACACATACCATCATCTAGATAACACATGTATGCATCAGATAGTCATGTTGACAACCCATGAATGCCTCCACATAATACCATGAAAGATCCTGTCTATTAGCTCTATTATAAAATGAAATGAATGGAATTTTACGTCCTTTAATTTGCACCATGTGGGCTAATGATGACATGTTCTATTATAGCTTCAACATCAAAACTAAAGAATGAAATTGAAAGTCTCTATTCGAAAAGAATAAGAGTAGAAGATGACTTGGAATTACTTCAAGGTTAGAATATATTTTAATTTTGTTATTATGCTATGATCATCATTATTATGCTAATAAATATAGCTATTCATACCTATTTGCTAATATTTAAGGTTGACATTTTCAAATGGTTATCTGGATTGGATTCCTGAATAGTAACTATAACGGATTTTCCAAAAACGTCCTCGTCTAACAAAAAAATCTTAAATGAATCTATGATCTTATATTTTGGCTTCTTTTTAAAGATTCTTTAAAGTTATCTAATGAAGAAAACCTTGATCTAAAAGAAGGCGAGAGGAGGAGTAATAATAAAATTGAAGAAATGTATAACCAATTAAAACTGAGTCAGGAGAGTCTAGAATTTATGACCGGATCTTTAAAAACATCCGACGGTTGGTATAATTTCATATGCATAGAGGGTTACATCAATATCAAATTCAAAATAGAATCCACTATATTTGAGTTTACATAAACTGTGATGGGATCAGGTCGACTAGCGCAACAAATCATCGCAATCGACTTGAGCAAAACAATAACAACTGCCCTCATCTGGATGTTCAGAAAATAGAGTAAAACATGACCAACAAAAAGGTTGCCACTATTGGTGACAACTGAGATATATGTGCGCTAATGCCAGTGATTGATCCGGTTCTACCAGATTACGCAAGTTACCGACACTGCTGAAAATCTAAACAGTGCAGGTTGATCTGGGACCCTCCGAACCCCCCGTCGTCCTTTCTCCGAATAGACTTCCAGTGAGTGTGTGCCCGCGCACATAAAACATTAATAGATGCATTATCTTTGATGTTTTCGTAACTAGAGCGTGTAGAAAATCTTGAATCAAAGCTAAAGAAATATGAGGAAAAGATGAACCATCTGCAAGGGGTGAAAGAGTATCTTGCTAAAAATAGTGCAGAGAAGGAGCATAAAATGGAACGGATGAAAGAATTATACAAAAAGGATAGAGATGCTTTTGAAAGTAAGTGGAACGATAAAAAAACGAAACGCATGCAGGTAAGAGCTTATACGGACTATACCTTATTGAAAATGGAATAGAAGTAGAAACAGCACTTTCAATGATCATAATGAAACTTTGTGTTCAATAAAATGCCAACCATTAAATCTTATGGCCGCAACCATTGAACACAAAGATTAGTTTGTGATTCTCTTATATCTGTATATCCCCCAAAAATTATACATATATTGAACATGTCTGGATACTTTACAGCATATCAAAGATTGGTGGCTCAGTGGTGTCGTGTCGTGTCACAATCTATAAGCTATAGTTGTACGCCCCCGAGCGGGAACATCTTTAAACTGTTACAGAGCATTTTTTTTATATCAGTTTTTTTTTCAATGCCTTATTTCAGAAGTACATGAGTTTAATTTACAAAAATTCGATCAGCTACAGAAGAAATATGAAAACGTTTTAGTAAGTTGATGAATTTTGATCTCAGTCTAGTTTCAGAGCTGAAGGAGCTCATTTGTCGCCACCCAAAACCCAATGTTTTGTTCGTTGACAATTTAATTTAAATTATTGTATTTTGATCATATAAAAATCAGTTGTCAATTACAGCGTCACCTATGGGAAAAGTGTCATAAATGTAGAAGTTGTGGAACCAATATCCCATATACCAATGTTAATGAATTCTCTAAACCAGAGGAAATTTCACTCAAAATGTTAAAATTACGCCAAGATAATAAATTTTCAACGGGTATGTATATAGAAAAGATATATTAGTTCTTACAGTTTTATCCATCTAAAACTATATATTTATATTCTACATCTAAAAAGTTTGAACTACACAAAATATTTACTTTTAAAAATCAAATTTAAACAAAACGCTTCTGTCATTGTAGATGGAATATCAATCACTAATGAACCAAAAATAACCGTATTAAATACAACATTTACAATGATAGAAAATGAACTGTATAGATATAAAATAATGAATGATCTATTAGAAGATAAAATAACAGAATATGAACCCGAATATTCAAGATCCACAGATACAGTGAAAGGTAAGGAAAGTGATCATGGAAGTTGTGAAATTTGAGGTATTTTAAGTAAATATCCCCGGGATTTTATATATAATATCTAAATTCTCCCGGATTTTATATAACATATCCCTGGAATATAAAATCCCACTAGAATAGGGAGAGTAATATAAAATCCCTCTAGAACAGGGAGAGTGATATAAAATCCCACTAGAACATGGGGGGTATACCACTAGATGTTTAAAAGGACACACTCCGGTAATTCATTTGCCATCTGTTTGCATGTTAAAATAATGTCAAAATTCAACCTTCTATAACTTTTTTCAGAAATCTCGTTGAAAACTTTCCAATATGTCACATGAAAGCCTGACCAATGCTTCGTTTCTGGACAAAAATTCAATATATCATGACCATCTTGAACTAGCCAAGCTGAAAGTAGACCACTATTTCATCAACATCCGCTTGACTGTCAATGCACACAAAACGACTATTTTTAGAATTATTCTTCCGCATGATTATCTCTCATCATCTCACAAAATCTGAAAGAAAATGCAATTTTCAGACGTCAAATATCAAATCTAGACAAAAGGTAGTGGACCACAGCCATATACACCCACCACGGCATGCGGAAGGTAAATATTCAAGATTTTGGGGCAAGGGCAATAACTCTGCTTCTAACGATCGAAAATAGCTCAAATTCGAACTTGATCTTCGTTTTATGAATATGTATACACATAACGAATTTCATTTGATTCTATCAAAAAATCTAGCTTTTCGAACGTTTACAAGCAAATGTTGACGGACGGACGGACAGGGGTGCCGACAATATACGTCCACATAGAGAGATGTGGGCGTATAACAATTAGTCAAAAATAGGCATGCAAAACCCCCAAGAGGGAGAGAGAAAGAGGATTTCTAAACATAGCACGGGCTACTTAGCATAAAATTGATTACTGATGAACGAATGTCAGCTTTTTTTCCAGAAAAGTTATCTTCCTCTTTTAATAAAAATTTCTCGCCAGATAAGTTGAAGTACCAACTGAAACTGATCATTAGCGTATTTAATTAAATCTACACAACTGAAGCTCTTTCTGTCTTCATGCCCTGGTTCTGCAGGTACACATTTTGTTTTGTTTCATTTCAGTGGAATCGGATTATTCAAGTTTTTCTGATGAATCCTTTCAAGAAGAGACCCCGAACATGAACATAATATCAGATGATTCTATTGGACAACCCACAACCCTGAATAGTTCTCTAGATGTTTATCAAAGAGTTTCTAGTATATATGAAGAAACATCTGAAAGCTCTGATATTAGTTATGGAGAACTTTTAGATGGTGCTATCAATGATCTCAGTAAAATATTCCAACGTACAGCTCAATAAATAATGTCAACATTGATCCAAATTTCATAGTAAAATATATTCTCATTTTACTTTTTTTGCTAAATTATACATTTACTTCTAACTGCGTTTGTATATTTAAAATAGTAGGTAACTTTGGTCTTTTTCTTTTCAACAATACAACAGTTGCTTCCCTTGTAAAACCAGAACCAATAACAGTAATTTGGTCAAATGTTCTGTATCTGATGATATTGAAGCGCACTTATAAAAGGTTGATGTACATAGCTAATAATGTTTGGTAGGTATAGTCGTGGAAGGGATGACATAAAATAAGATTACAACCTCTTTACCACATTTTTCTCATCCTCCAATTAAATAGATTCTATAAAAGCACATGCTCAGATTACTAGGACTGTAATGATTTTTCAGAAAAGAACTTTTCCACTTCAGTGTATCATCCATTGATGTCCGTAATATCTACCTTAACTAGCAAATGCAAAATACAGATGTAATTATCAACAGAATAGATATGAAGCGGTCAGAATGTCAAAAGACTCTCTGTGCTGTCCAAACGTAACTTGTTGTCTAAACGGTGTGAAAATCCGCAAAATATTCACCACCGAAACCAAAGCGTAAAACGACTCCCAAGACAAGAAGAAAGGAACAGGAAGTCATTAAAATAATTGATAAAAGGGTAAATAACCGGACGACATGGTCCAGAAACAACACTATCTCATAAACAATGAATTAGAAACGGGATAGGGGACATATTGGCTAATAAACTACATAGTGTGATGCAGCATGAAGTCAAGATAAGAGATAGATCCACAACCCGTGAGGTATACACAGTTAATGGACAGGAACTAGATAATGTTCGACATGCTTCTTTAAGCCAACGATAAAATCACACCACTTTTTATACATTAAACACAAAAAACCTTCATTATAAAAGCATTCCAGAAGGCCTATTCTTGTCCATTTAGACGTCTTCATATTTCCTTTGGCTTTGATTGATGGCCTCAGTTTCACTTTTAGCACTGCTCTTCATTAAAAGAGACAAGAAACGGTGCTCGCATCCGGCTATGTTTATCTTTGGTGGTTTTTATAAAGCAAACCAGATTACTCGAGACGTTTTGTTTGTGTAGAGATGTTATCTTTACGTTTATCACTAAAATTATAGGCATGAAGTATTAGCAATAGACATAACGATAAACGTAGTAGGAAATTAAAACTAAAACAAGAATGAAATATTGGCCCTTCGCCGACTCCTGTATTTTTATGCTCTATGGCACTATCTCATTGTCCCCAATGGCGTATAATGTTTTCTGTCTACCTCTAAATTAATACTATGATATTAAGCATAAAGTGTTGAGTACTTGGTATAGATGCACTTCTTTCTAAAGATCAATAGAGTCAACTGGGAAGGTCTTTACAGAGTGGCAGAAACTCAACCTTCCAAAAATGAACAGCCACTTTAATCAAACGCCCAATAGAATGAAGAACCAGCCAATGGTCATCGAAGGACATGCATGTTATTGTTGGTCCACATAGATTAGCGAATTGAATTGATTTTAAATGACAATTTTTCCAATATTTATGAAGGAAAACTTTAATCGGGAACATTTTATTCACGAATATTGCGGAGAAGCCGACATTTCCGTTTTCCAACAACTATGAGCATTAATATCATAAATGTTAAAAATGTTTTATTTTCATTTCCTTCATATTTCAAATAAATATTTCTTTTCGCCTGAACAACCATCATACAAAAATGTTTTTAATAGAAATCAGATGTTTTAGACATCTAATAAATATTGTTTCTTTAGTTCTCTTAGTGGGCTTTACATAGATCAACAAGTTCCTTACAAAACTTTACCATTCCACAATTGAATTAAAAATAACGGAAAAAGAAAATTCTTATTTTGACATATACAAATAATAAAAACGTTTCGAATTCTTGCGCAAAGGAAGCAAGCGCTTAGGTCATTCTCAATTCAAATTCTCTAATCCCTTTAATGAGTTAAATTTGGACGAAGTACGAAGTTTTGTGTCAATTTTTAATGTTTTAATTCAGTAGACGCGTGTTACAGGTGCTAAAATAAATGAAAACAGATTTGAATTAAAGTTATACAAGTACACTATTTAGTTTATATTTAGCTGTTGACTTATTAGTTATAATAATTACTGATTTCTTATTTGAACCCTGTAGAAATACAACAAATTATCAGGAATAATATTCGCTTCTAACACTGACAAATTTCCGCTACCTATAAGGTGTTGGTTCTGATATGAGTGTTATTACTCTGTATTAATTAACAGAGTGAAACATTATAATAATATTATTATTAAATATTATGATATTATATATTTTTTTTAAGAACCACTTTTATTATAAAGACTATTTGTGAAATATTCTAAAAATCATTGTGATATTGACTCGCTATGATCTATAACAGAATAATAAACACCACTAAAAGATTATCATAATCATTCTCTATGTATTTTATAATAAAGATTCGTTGTTTAAATAACCATTAAAAGACACATTTTTATAATACAATATAACAAACTTAAGTTATTGTTATAGAGACTTTCTATAAAATAATATAACATTTATCACACTCAATGACATTGTGTAAGTGTAATTCATTATTCATTATATTGTTATGCCAAACATATTGATAATATTATTATTCAGGCTCATAATAATAACTGTTACATCATTGTCATAAAGACTCTTATAAAACATCTTAAAACATAATATTATTTAAAATGTTATATGCTAATTGTGTATTGTATTGTATATTATGTAACATAATCATATTAAAAAAAAAACATTATCATAGCTTTTGTTTTAACCTGATAAAACATGATTATAACACCAAACTTGATAACTAAACAAAACATATAAACAAAATATTATTATAATATTGCGATAACATTAATCAAACACCATTATTAATATCATAGCTTATTTATTTTTTAACATGATAAAACATGATTATAACATCAAATTTAATAACAAAACATAAAACATATAACATAACAAAATATTATTATAATATTGCGATAACATTTGCATGGTTATTTAACGTAATGAAATATGATATTTTCAAAACTGTAAAAAAAGAAACGTCATTAAACATGATTTGGGGTGTATTATTTAACGTAATCAAACACCATTAAAATATTATTATCATAGCTTATTTATTTTTTAACATGATAAAGCATGATTATAACATCAACTTTAATAACAAAACATATAACATAACAAAATATATAACATAACAAAATATTATTATAATATTGTGATAACATTTGTATGGTTATCTAACGTAATGAAATATGATATTTTCAAAACTGTAAAAAAAAGGAACGTCATTAAACATGTTTATAATATCATTTTTTAGATTTGTGGTGTACAATGTAACATAATCAAACACCATTATTATTATCATAGCTTATTTATTTTTTAACATGATTATAACATCAACTTTAATAACAAAACATACAACATAACAAAATATTATTATAATATTGCGATAACATTTGTATGGTTATCTAACGTAATGAAATATGATATTTTCAAAACTGTAAAAAAAGGAACGTCATTAAACATGTTTATAATATCATTTTTTAGATTTGTGGTGTACAATGTAACATAATCAAACACCATTATTATTATCATAGCTTATTTATTTTTTAACATGATTATAACATCAACTTTAATAACAAAACATACAACATAACAAAATATTATTATAATATTGCGATAACATTTGTATGGTTATCTAACGTAATGAAATATGATATTTTCAAAACTGTAAAAAAGGAACGTCATTAAGCATCATTATAACATAAAACTTAAAATATAAGCTCATGGCTCATTATTTTTTCCAGATTTTGATCAAAATTTTCAAGTCACACCTTCAATGAGAAAAAGTGGTCTGTAAATGAAATGTATATCTTGAAACGTGTTTTAATAGAAAAATAAAGTCCAAGTTAGATCAAAGAAATATTTAATTGTAAATTTTGAAAATCTCTTAAAATAAAACATTATTATGTTTTTGTACTCAGGGGGCGGTGCCATAGTTTCTGCCAGACGTAAATATTATTTGAAGTTTCTGTACATGGAAGAATTCCAGCAGAGTTTCTGATGAGTTTTTGGGAAATACCCCTCATGGTTATTTGAAAACGTGGATGTGGTATGAATTTCGAATGGTGAAAATGACAAATAAACTGTCAGTAAGAAGTAAAACTGATCGTGAATCAATGCTAATCTCAATTAACTTTAATATTCATCAAAAATACCCATGGTATTGCCAACTATTTATTACCGTTCTGGTTTCTACCTATCAACTTCCTTCTCGCCCATCTATCTAACCTGCCACGCACATGCGTAACGTGCCACATACATTTTTACACCTCTCGGTTTCAAAACTGGAACGACATATCACAATCAATCTGAATTTAACGAACCTGAAAATAGACTTTTACATCATTCAGCTAGAGAGTTTTAGTGTCATTTTAGCTACTGACTTTAACAATAACCTCCTATCATCGCCAATAAATACTTCTTAAATCAGAAACATCTTGGTGCCATAATCTTAAACTTTCTGGCGAAGATCTTGTTCTTTCCTGCATTCACTAAGACTATTCCTAACATAACGCTAGCTATTGAGAACTATCAATGCCTAAGCTGGTTGTTAAATATAAAAAAAAGTTACAAATAATTGGTACATGAAAATATAAATCCAGGTGAAATCAGAAAATAGTATTGTGCTGTTTCTTTGGAATGGCTACTGCAATTTTAAGGCTTCAGATAAAAGACTTGCATCTTAGGCAATGGATTTCACCTTGACTATTCATTTTTATATCTGATATTTAATTTTCTGATATCTAAATCAAGGTGCAATGTATGTACTTAATTATTTGATTCGTCTTTGACGTGTGACCAATAATATAGTAAATACATTGAACCCTGCTTCTGATAGAAAGTAAATTATAAAGGTAATTAAGTAATTATATACGATCAGGTATCG